TAAATCCACGATTCAAAACAACTATTTAACAATAGTGAAAAGCTCAAAGTTTTGTGATTGGGTCAGATTGTTTTCAATCAAGCAGACAAAGCATATCGTATGGAGTAAATTTCAATTGAAACATTCAAAAGAAAGAAAAGTTTGGGCGAACTGGAGTCTAGATTTATGTGCCCAATATTATGCTTGAGATGATATGATCGGATTTTCTGTCAAATTTTGAACAGTTTTTGTGTTCTTCAATGACAAAGTTTCAACAAAATTATAGAAAACTGCGATATCCGATAACACAAAACTTTTGAGAGATAATTTTTTTTCCACAAAAATTGCAGTTTTTTGGGGGAACGTCCATAGTTAAATTAATCTATAATTGCAATGTTTGAAAAATATGCACCTCTTTTTTTTACAGTTTATTTTTTACAAGAAATCAAATGTTTTTGAAAGATATAAGAAAATCTTTTTAAAACAATTGTAACTTCTAATTCTAAAAAACGTAGGGCAAACTGGAGTCTAAGATGATGTGCCAATCGTTCTTGCGAGGCGTTTTTTTTTAGATGACATGGTCTAGTTTTTCAATTTTTTGAGTTTTCCGAAAAAAAAGTTTCGACGAAAACTTTATGTAACTGCGATATCTCGAAAACACAAAACTTTTGAAAGGTAGTTTTGTTTCCGCAGACCTTGCGGTTTTTGTAGAATGTCCAAAGTTAATATGGAATGTTCATATTTAATTTAATCTATGGTTGTAATTGTTTAAAATTCTACAAGTTTTTTTTATACAATTTCAAATTTTTTCTACAACAAGTCAAACAATTGGTGTTCTTAATCGGCAGATATGTTAAAATTTTTAATAAAAACTTCAACTGCAAAATAAACAAATACAAAAAATGCGATTTTTCGCGAGATGTTTTTGATGAAAAGAAATAGTCTGCCGAGAAACTGCAGACTTTAGTTCACTTTTGCAACGGCTCGCCACTTTTCCACTAAATCCACGGTTCAAAACAACCAGTTTTAATAGTTTTTTCTATCCATTTTTAAAACAAGGTCATAGTGTTTTTATTTAAACGTACAAAATAAGTCTTCTATGTTAAATTTTGCAAGAAAATTTCGAAAAGAAAGAATGGTTAAGTTTTTGAATCATAAATTAAACATGCAACCAAAGCATTGAAATCTGTGATTGGTGAGGGAAAATTATGTGATCTTAGGACCCACTAAACGTCTGTCCCTACAGGTTGTATTTGTAAGGTAAATTCGAAACGAATAAAAATATACATTAAGAAAAAAGTGTTTGCTTCTTCCGGTAGATTAAAAAAAAGTAAATTTTGTTTCAAAGAATGGAGCAACCTAAAGTCCACAGGTATGTGCCAAATATAAAATCACAGTAATTTTGCGGTTTTTTAAAAAAAATTTACTTCAATGCATATAATGAAAAAAAAAGTTCAAAACAGTAAAACTGCAATATCTCTAAATCGGAAACTCATTTTTAAGAACAATAACAACAATAATACAATGGTGTTTTAATTGATGGCCTGTTGGTTACATAGTTTTCTGTTGCTGCAATTTGATGAATTCAATAAGATAACTTATAATTGAAAACTTGAAATCAGTCTAAGAACCCAAATGAATTCACACGGCTTAAATTGTATAAATTTGTAAAATAGTGCTGTTAGTTTTTGTCTGCGAACAAAGTTTTCGGAGCAGATTTAAATCTTAAAAGAAGATCATTTGTGTAGCAAGTAAACATAATTGGTTCTAGGATTGAAACCTTGTGAAATACCACATTCAATTGTTTTCCAGTCTGAAATACTCACGCCATTATCTTTTACGCGCTGTGTAAGATTGCTCAATTATGTTTCTAACCATTAAAAAAAACCTTACTTAACCACTTTATAACATTTATTTTGAGGTCAAAATTATACGGATCAAAACTTTTAAATCCAAGAAAAACTACAATTTTTACCCGTTAACATCGGTGTTTTCTATTTTTTGTTATTTCTAGGCAATAATTGTGCTGCACTTTTTGCGAAAGTCATACTGTTTAGAAAACAGCCGAGTGAAGCTCTCAGATAGGAGTACACGCGGTTGATCATAGTAGGTTCATGTTATTTTCTAAGCAAATGATCACAATTGTACTCGCTAGTTATTTTTATCTGTTCGCGATCCTTCTTTGTTAAGACGAAACTATTTTGCTTTGCAAAATTGTTTTTGAAATAACGCCCTTTGAAAACAAAAGGGTGCTTATAAATGCTAGGTAGGGCGACTGAGCTTTAGCTGAAATTTTTGCAATTGTGAGAATTATATAGTCCTCAGTGAAGGAGAACTTGTTATCCAAATTTTGTTAATTTTGAAAACAAAATTTTGATTTTCGGGTTAATTAAAGAAAAGAATTTTTTCAATACTCGGACTGACAAAGTAATGAAAGTCCTTGCAGATTATTTTTGCCTATGATTATGGGTAAATTTTGGAAAGTTTGTTGCAAACTTGTAATCAAAAAAGACGTCTTCGATCTCAAATTGCAACTCAAATTCATTTCATTAAAAACGCCTTTTCGATTACTTTATTTTCGAGTTGTGCTCTTCAGATTTTAAATTCATTACAATTGTTTCTACTTTAAATCTGCAGACTGCATTTCACTTGTTTTTCAGATTTGCTGGTCTCATGGTGAACGAATTTAAATCCGTTTTTTGTACAATTTTTTGACATTTTAGGGGAGCAAAATTATCAAATGTTTTTAGATAAAATTGTATTTTTAATTTTTCCCCCAACTTAATGTTAACTTTCCATAAGTAAATGCTTTTAAAATAGCCCAGGGTAAGTTTTGAAACAGACAATTTTTTTAAAAAATTGATAATTATACGTGACGGGTTGCTTCAATACTACTGGTTTTAAATCGACTTGATGATATTGGGTTTAAGTAATTCTGCGCTAGCAGAATTTTCTGCAGCGTATCTAGATCAAATCAAGGATAACTGTTTGCTGTGCAGGAAGCATAGAATGTTAGGAGCATAATCACCAAAAAAACTGGAATAAGAGTTTTTTTCGTTTCCTTGAATTACTTGCGACTTTTTTGCGTGGTTGTTTTTTGAGAGCTATAAACACGCGTAAAATGTAAGTGATTTCGGCAAAATTGGAAAAATTTTCATTCGAACGAAAAAACACAAAAAAGAAAATGAAACTATATAATTATTTTTTGTACAACAGTTCCAAATTTTTCAAAAAAAATTGTTATTAAACGCTAAATTTACTACAGTAAACCAGTTGTTTTAATAACAAAACAAGTTTTATGATCCTAAAAATCTTTTTGAGAAAGAATTCTATATACCAAACGTTAGTTGATCGGGTTACTCACTTGAAACTATATTTAATCTCAAACGCAATTTTTTTCAAACAATTTAATTCAAATCACGACTGACAGGACTCAAAATTGATATATCTCTTGAGCCATTCTGATTTTTATTTTTTGGTACCTGATAATAAGTGAAAAAACAAAAAACAAAAACTAAAACACTGGTCGGATCAATTACACCAGAGGACAAACGGTTTTCTCTCATCTAAAAAACAATTTATATTTTCAACGGAAATCAATTTGTTAGTAATGCTTTGTATTTGAAATTACCTATGGGGTGAACAAACTTTAAAAGAGTGACTAAATTCAAAAAGAAAATTAGGTCGCCAAAGGTCGCGAAAGTGTGGATATGCCAAAATTTGGTCGCGACCGTCTGGACTTAAAAACAGTCCCTGTTAACCTTGATACGAGCCCTTTTTTTGTAAAATTATAAAATTCGAATAAACGCTTTCTTCAGTTTTTTGTTCGAACTTTCGAAAATATTTGCGCAATTTAAAAAAAGACTTTCTAAGAAATTTCTAGCATCCGAAAAAAAGTGACGTCCTAAGCTCAAAATAATAGAGAGTATCATCTGTGATCATTTTTCAAAAAGGGGGTTTGATAGGTGGCAGCTTGGCTAACTTAAAACAATTGAAGCGCGAGATATTTTGTGCTATTAACTTAAGGCTATTCACTCCACTGATAAATCGTTTCAAATTGAAATGAGGCAAAGAATTTGCTGTAAATAATACGTTACTAAACGTTAAGAAGATCACATTGTACTTAGCATAGAGTTTGGGGGAAAAGTTTTTAATAAAAATCTGAATTTTTTGATAATTCGATGTAACCATTTCCCCGCTTACAGAAATTGTATGATAAACATTTTTTCATGAAAAAGAAAATTGTATAAGCGTTCTGTCATTTATGATATTTTTATCACAAACAGGTTTCATTTTGTAATTCAAAAGTTACGTTGCTGCCCATAAGGCGTGCAATTTCTGAACAAAGAAAAAAAATCTGCGAAAGTCAGGGGGTTTCAGAGGCTGCAACCTCAACTTCTCCTTTCTTGCTCGCAAACCTTTTCAACTAATGAGAGAGCAAAAAAGTCCTAAGCTTTACCCTAGAGACTAAAACAAAGGGATGGGTTATCTCAAACTTAAAAAATTACTGAATTTCCATCGGACACACAATATTCACAACCAGTCCTTCAGTTATGCCATCATTCAACCGCCACTTCTGCCATCGACATTCAAAAATAATTTCTATAAGAACACACTTCAGGCGTGCGAGAAAACAATCCGGACGATTCTTCAGACATTGAAGAGAAGTTAGAACATTCAGGGCTTCGCCATGATAAGAGCTGTCTTGTTTGCTTAGAACTTACTTTAGATACTGATCAAGGAAAAACTTATATGAAATTTTCAGGTCTAGGAGCTTTTTTGATAAAATTCTCTTTCAATCGGCAGAAATTCTACAGAAGGTTAAAGTGAATATTTAGTTATTTGCACTGAATGTGGTCTTTTATGTGCCATTATTTAAAAGCTAAACACACCCAAAAAGAGTTCAAGGCTTAATTCTAACATGCTGAGTAACAACGTCTTTGGAGTAACAAATCCATGTTTCAACACACAAGCTTCACCTTCGACTATTTGCCCACAGAAGATAAGAATTCAGAAGGAGATCTACCAAATATATCTCAATCGAATGGTTTTTCACGTCTATTTGAGCTTCTCATTTTACTATATGTAGTATTTTCGACAGGAAAATCACTGATGATTAGTTTTATCATTCAACCTATTGTAATTTTACCTGTTATAATTGTGTTGGTATCTTTGTTGGTTTGGTCAAGTCATTGATTAGTTTTCTTCCATTAAATAATTATACTATAAAGAGCTGTTTTGCTAATTTTTATAAAAATATAAAAGAAGATGGCCAGTTTTTCTTACTTCTACGACAGTGAGCATCACATTTACGAGCTGATCAAGATCTATAACAGACAGTTGCCTCACCGGCCAAAACCGTCCAGAAACTCAAAGTAGGTTCGAAAATATTAGAGAAACTTTGGGCTCCGTCTCCCTTAAATGTGAAATGATATGAAGAACTAAATTTATCGAACTCGAGAAAGTTTTTGAATTGAAGTTAAATGATCACAACACCTTAACTTTTTGTCAGTGATCTTAAAAATTTTAACATATGCATTAAGGCTGCTAGTTATTTGGAATCTCGAAATTAAATTGGGAATTGAGTTTAAGCAAACATTTTTAAGAGAAAAACTTGGGCAACAAAACCCTCCATAAAAAATCTGCATGTGAAAAACGCATAATAGTTAAAAGAAACCAGTGTGTTTTAGAATTGGTAAACAGAACAAGCTAATCACACAGTCGGACAACATAACATGTGCTCCCTTTCGCGGAACCGAATCCTCCGAGCACTCGGTCGAGACCAGTCGAGTCTCGTCTCACAGTCTGCAAAACAAGAGTGGATCCAGTGGCCGAATCCAAAGGAACTCGTGTGACAACCAGGGATGCTGAAAAATATATTTTTTCATTTTTCATTTTGCACTGGAATTTTTCTGATGATTTTAAATCTCAAAGTTTTTTTAACGTTTGAATGCTCTAAAAAAAAGCAACGATTTATAAATACTAGCACAAGGAGTTGACACATGTTTTTTTTCAGGCTGTATAAAGTTTTTTTTTCTGTAATTTCTATTTTACCGATAAAATATTATTTTTGTTAGACTTCCTAGCTTTCCCAAAATGCCACGGAGAACATATTAGCGCAATGTTCCAGCCAGTAGCGTGTCGAGGAGGGGGGGGCGACAACCCTCCCGCTTAATTCTGGATGCCAAAAATTTTCAAAGGGTCCCCCCCCCTTTGGTATACCTTTATGACATCAATTTTTCGGTGAACAACCTCAAAATTTTTCTAAAGACAATATAATTAATTTTGAGGGGGGAGCGCGCGCGAAAAAAATCATTTTTTGGTCAAAATTTTCTAAAACACTTTTTTTGGCCTGTTTTTTGAAAAATTTGCCTGAGGCGCGGAAAATTTTTCACAAAATACGACTCTTGCTTGTAATATTTTGGGAGAGCTCGGAAAATCAAATTGGTCGACCTAATAAAAAAAAGTCGACAAAACCGCCCCCCTAGAAAAATTTTCTGTGCACGCCACTGGTTCCAGCAGTTGAGTAAGATTTTAGCCAAAAACCCATTAAGTAGGTTTTTGAATGTTTAAAATGAGTTCAAATTGTCTCCAAAACTTTTAGGTCGGCCGCCCAAAATGGGTGCTGTAAGATAGTTTTAGTTCTGGTTGCACATTTGGGCGAAAGTTACTCATTCAAAAAATTCTATCAAAATGGTTTATTAGTTCAAATCAGGCCCTCTCGCTTTGCTAATTTCGCAGATCTTCTAAATTGAGAACGTAGTTGTTGACATCCCTGGTCTCAATCGATAGAGCACTGGCAATACAGAGGGGTCTCTCTATGACCGGATGAAGTCCAAGGCAAGACAGCAGACAAGCTGGGCTATAGTATTTGTGACCATGATAGTGTTCATTCCAATCATAGGGACACTCTTCAGCTTCGGAGTATTCATACCTGCCATAGAGCCCGACTTCCACGTGCACAAATCAGTCATGGGTAACATAGACTTTAATTTCTAAAAGTTTAATTTCTAAATCTATAAACTAATCTCGAATCAGCTATTAAAAACAAAGCGCCTTCAAGAAATGATTTTTGGGGCTGTCTTGAAAACTTGACGGCTCTTTTTCCTCTTTTCCCACTTTTTACAAAATTTCTCTGCCCACCTTGTTTGTTCTTGCAACAATTGGCATGTGGACTGGTTAGGCTATGACAAGCATTTGGTCCCAATACTCAACTTTGCAAGACACCTCGTTACATCAAAAAATTATTTCTTGCTGAGCGGGAGGAAAAACAGCGTACTTGACTGATGAATGCTAAGGCGATTTGAGTGTTTTTTTTTCACTCACTTCGAAAGTTTGGGAAGGAACAATGCAAACATAAAACAATCACCAAATGAACTATCACTACCCCAACTTGACAACTCAAATCTTTTGTTTCGACCATTAGAAATCTTCGAAAAAAGTTTCTCTAGTGCACGGTCTTTTTTGTTCCGACCATTGAAATTGGGAGAAACTTTGTATTTGAGTGTTTTAGTTTTTTTTGGTTTTATGGTTATCCACGTAAATTCAGGTGCCACAAATAATCATTGGAATGGTTTGAGTAATATATCTTTTGAAAGTTTTTCAATCGTGGTTCGAACCGCTTTTTTTGATTTTATGCCTAATTTAAGCCTTGAAAACTTAATTTTATTAGGTTAAAGCTAGTTTTTGGACTCTTTTTAGCGCCATTTTGGGAATCAAAACTTTCAAAAAACATTAAATTTTTTCATATTTTTTTTGTTTTTCTAGATATTAGTTTGCAAAAACTGACGTTTAATTTGCTTATTTTACTATGAATGTCAATTGTGATTAAATTCTAGACTTTTGTTCAAATCTTTTTATCAGAGAGAAACTTCACTAATTTCGAAAACTTTTTTTTTGTATTTCTTGTTTGACTATGGTCGGAACATTCTGTGCTATTTGTACAATAACTGACTATACTTGTTTATTTAGGTGTTTAATTAACTTCGAAATACTGAAATGAATCGACAGAAAAATTAATCAAACGGATTGTGTGCAAACTTCAAAATCAAAGATAAGCAAAAAATTCAAAAATCAATTGTTCAAAAGTTATCAGTTAAGTAAAAATTTTGGCTGTGAATAAGTTACAAACTTTGTGAGCACTGGTCTGTCATTTCGTTCTGAATTTCGTAGGTACTATTATATCACTTTATTCTGACTTTCGTAATCAGTCGTTGAAACAAACGTTCTCGAGCCACGCTTGACTGACATTCCATGTCCTGTTTTTTGAGGTTTTTTATTTGTCTTGATGTATTGCGATCAGGCTTGGCATATTGGCATCAGCGAATTGGCTAATTAAAGTTCTGCAGCCAGTTTTGTTGACATTCTGTTGCGAGAGAAGAAGGCGCAGGTTTGAAAAAGCACCTTCAGAATTTTGTTTTTGTTTTTGTTTTCCCCGTAGGGCAAATTTGTGTACATTGATGAGATGGTTCCTTATTGAACTTGGAATGCAAATATTGCAGGAGTCTTGCAAGACGTTTGCGAGTTTTTCATACTCAATTTGGAATGCAAATTTTCAAAAACTTTACAAGAATATTGCAAGATATACTTTCTTTATTCGTAATTCAAACTTTGACTCCCGAATTGAGAAACCACGTTCAAGTTTTGCTCATGATTTATTGCTTATGCTTTTCGCGCAAAGATCTGAATTTGTAAATGTTTTCAAAATTTCATATTAGGCTCAAGTTCTGATTACTTTCTACAACATTTTTTTTACAACTTTAATCTACAGCAAAAACAGTAAAAACAGCTCTGAAAATAGTTTTTCCACTCGCGACCGGGTAGCAAAACAAAATTGACAAGTTTTCATACAGTTTCATTCGTACGGGGTTTTTCATACTGTCGTGCGTGTTGTAGTGAAAGAAAAACGGGCTGGGAGTTAGAACTCCTATCTATTGCTGATGCATTTCTTGTTCCGACTTTCGAAGAAATTGAGGAATATATATGCGCGGGGTGGTTTTTTATATTCAGACCGATTATAGAAAATTTGGCAGCGTATGGGTATGGATCCGGAAAACTTGGGATTGCCAAGCGGGTATGTTTGCACTAGACTAAAGTGCAAAATGGCTGCTGGAAAAAAACTTTGATATTTTATTTCAATTGTTTTATTCGTGGCAGATTATCCGACTCATTATCATCTGAGGCTAATTAATTGGCAGTCGGGATATTCAGGGCTTTGCCTTGATACGAGCAGTCTTATTATGTTATTTCCAAGTTTTTTTGAATCATTTTCTTCTCTCAGATTACTGTAGACTGATCGCTGTGCTTCTAGCTTGCTTTTGCATTTGTGAAAAGGAAATCGCATCATTTATCTAAATGAAAAATAGACTCTCGAACCTTGTCTGATGAAAATGTTTGTCCACAGTTTCGAACAAAAATGAGAATTTTGAAACAAACAGTTTTATGAGTTGTTAAAAATCTGCAAACTAGTTGAAATTCTTTTTATTTCGCTGTTCCAGTAGGGTTTATTATCTTGCGTTTTTCTCAAACAAAGTTCTAAAGTTTGGATACTACAAATTTTACAGCTGAACCAAAAATATGAAGCCAAACTAAAAGGCCCTGCAAGAAAAAACTAGAATAAAACGGAAAAAAACATGGATTTTTTTCTAGATACTTTTTCTTGTAAATTAATTGCCTAAGTTTTATTGGTCCAAATAGAGAACATCACCATCTGTGTCCATATTAGTTGTTTGATTCATTCTCAGTATCTAACAAACGACAGAAAATTCCGGGTAAACATCATGAGAAAAAACATGATTTCTTTCAGATATAAATGTTTTTATTTTGAGCTCTATATTCAAAACAATCAAAATTTTTTGCAGCCTAACTTATTCTCTTTATTGAAATATTTAAGATCTTTTCTTTCCAAAAATATTTCGTTTAAAGACAATTTTTTGTATATCGTGAAAATATTCCTCTTCTCCTTTTACATGTTATACATAGCTTGAGTTTCACAATTTTTTTTCAGTTAAACTGAATTCCCTCAGTGCAAAAAACGTTTTTGGTATCTGAAATTTGATCCAGACAAAACTAATTGAATTCAGAGACTTTCATGCTGGCTAATCAGCAACTTTTTTTTATGTTGTCTAACTAATTCCCGCGTTGACCATCCTACAAAAAAGCCCCTATCTTAGAACTTCTCATAGGATTTGTAGGATACTTCCGCTATCTTACAAACTTTTTATAAGAAAACTTCGAAACCAATCCCAAAAAAACTTTTTCATTGTGTTTCTGTGCATAACAGAAAAAATAATTATAGAAAAATTTCAATTTTATTGAGTTTATGCATGTTAAAACTTTAAGAAAGAGGTTACAATGTATGCATTTCGAACAAAAAAATTCCGATAAAAAAATTGATTTTTTTTCCAACAAATCTATTAGTTATAGGCAATTATCGGTTCGAAATTAGTCAGCGGTTCGAAATGACACTAAAAAACCAGCTTTGACAAATCCTGTCATATAGCTCGATCGTTTTGTATGCGTTCATATTACTCGATATATAGTTCAGCTATATATCGAGTAATATTCTAGTTATCAGCAAAAAATAACTCCTAAAAAAGCATATTCTTCAGTAAACTCAAGCAGCAAATCGAGTCGTCGTTGAGCCTACGAGTGTCCGTTATCGTACTCAGCGACGCGGAGATTTTTTTCAATTGACTATAAGAAAATTTAAAATAAATACTCAGTCAATGTAATTTTGAAAATTTTTTGTAGGAAAAGTTCCTATCTTACAGATTTAACTTTCTTCCATGAAAAGTCACTATCTTACAACTTTCTTAATAGAAAAAGTCACTATCTTTTAATAAAGGAGCATAATAAGAGGGTTGGCAATCTTGATTTGCAATCTTGTAACATAGGAGCCTTGTAACATTAGAGACTAATTTTGTAAGAATTTGTAAAACGCTTATAAGAAAAGTTCCAAGATAATGGTTTCTGGTCAACCCAGGTTGTATTTTATCAATCATCTATTTTAAACTGATTACTGGTCAATTGAAAAAGTTTGAAAAGCACTTTGTTCCTGCAAAATGATAACAGTTGTTGACAAACAAAGAGCTCCTATAAAAATAAATCAGCGATAGAATTATTCAAAAAAAACTCAAAGAGCTATTTTCAAGGATTCTTGAAGCTTATGTTCTCGAATGGAAAACTACTTTTCAAACATTTTTCATGCTGGATTTCATTTTTGTCATTAATGAATATTTTTTCAGGCTGGATCGCCTCCATCCCTGTGGCTTTTCTGACAGGTGCCAATCCACTGTCGTGTTCTCTAAGTGTGCGATTCGGATACCGACCTGTCATCTTTGCCGGTGTGCTCCTAGTAGTGTTCGGACTATTCATTGTCAGTGCAGCCAACCATCCAATGATCATCTTTGTATCCTACAGGTTAAAACTGCTTATTTTTGAAATTCATTCATCGTAATTTTGTGAACTATTTTTAATTGCACATCACTTGAAAAAGCCAAAGCCAAGTGTATGCAATCATCAATTGTTGATTCTCCACAAACCTCTTTTTGCTTTATTATCAAAAACGATGGTTTTTTGTCAAAAAACTTGTTGGTTCTTGAGTCCTTTCCCCTTCTGGATAAATAAATTGTTTTAAGTTGATAAGATGAAACAATTTTTCCATTATAAGCGAAAAACAAGACTTCTCGTATATCAAGCCTTGAATGTTCCGGCTGCCCTTTAATTAGTCTCGGCTAATTTTTGGTAACAGAAAATATTGGAAAATTATAAACTTTGGACGAAGATCAAAAGGGAAAACATTAGTTGTACGAAACATACGACCAATTAGCTAGAAGGAATTCAATTTGGAAAGATTTTGCTGTGCGGGATAATTCACCACAAATGATTATTTGGCATTTTAATTCAGGGAGTCGCCCGCATTGGCAAAACTAAGGTTGCAATAGGTTTTTATACAGATTGTCTGTTAGTAAAAAATCGATTGAATGAAACCCAATTTCAAAAAAATGGATAATTTAGGCGGTTTCTTATGAGGTTTTATACAGCTCAGAAAAAAATTATCCATTATCTAGAAAAAGGATTTTTTTGGGGGATATAAAATCTGCATAGCATAGCTGTATAAAATCTGTATAAAATCGAATGTAATAGATTATAATGTATTTTCTGAGGACCCAATAAAATCGATTTTATTGTCCAAAAAGTTGATTATATTGCTAAATAATTGATTTTTTTACTCTTAGAAGCATGCTGTTCGAAAACTCAAAACAAAAATTGAGTTCAAACTAAACGACACAAATAATAGAAATCAAAGTTTTGCGCTCAAAAAATATGCAATAAAATCATGAAAATTATCAAAAAAACAAGATTTTGGGCACAAAAATATGCAGCAATCTCGTATGAAACAAACTATTAACTAAATAACCTCGTATGCCTTAATATCCAATAAATTATCAACTAGTATGTTTCGCATCTAATTAGACTTCCCCGGGTTGACCACCATTCACCGAAAAAGCGTATCATACAATTCCATTCATCACAACTTTTTGTCACACAATTTTCATACTTTTTGAAAATGGTTGAAAAAAGATTAAAACTAATTTCTCCGGCTGTTTGATTCTAATAAAACAGTCTGGCGAGGAAAAAATCGAATTTTTTTTTTTTTTTGAAAATAATGCTTCTCGTAGAAGACCCATATATTTCCTGTAACCATATATTCCCATAATAGCAATTTTTTGATGGCGACACAAAAGTTGCCTGATTTTTTTTGTTTTTTTTTAAACGCAAAAAGAATTTTGAACTCAAACAAACATTTTCCAACAAATCTGTTTGGCAAGCAAAATTTAAATTTTTTCTCTATTATAACTACCTGGATGCACAAAATTTATCTTGATGACTATTTTCATAAACGCTCAAAAAACCTACTTATTTTTTATGGCATGTTTATGTATGCATAGATCAAAACAATAATATTTAAAATGTCAAACTTTGAAAACTATCATCTTTGAAAAGTTTTGCCAAAATTTAAAAGTTTATTACTCTCCTTATATCATCTGTAAAAAGCAGCCGTAAGACAATCCATATCGTTTTGCATGCATTGTATATGCAAAACCGTCCATTTTTTGGTGCTTTGAGTTAACCAAGGTCTTCATCACTTGCGTTCGGTTACGAGCACAACGCAAAATTTTTCAGAAATTAAGTTTGAAAAAAATCTACTTTTTGGGTTATGGGAAAATACGTGTCTTACAATTTTCATATATGGAAAAACGCCTTAGATTTTGGGCACAAGAATATGCAGCAATCTCGTATGAAACAAACTATTAACTAAATAACCTCGTATGCCTTAATATCCAATAAATTATCAACTAGTATGTTTCGCATCTAGTTAGACTTCCCCGGGTTGACCACCATTCACCGAAAAAGCTTATCATACAATTCCATTCATCACAACTTTTTGTCACACAATTTTCATACTTTTTGAAAATGGTTGAAAAAAGATTAAAACTAATTTCTCCGGCTGTTTGATTCTAATAAAACAGTCTGGCGAGGAAAAAATCGAATTTTTTTTTTTTTTTGAAAATAATGCTTCTCGTAGAAGACCCATATATTTCCTGTAACCATATATTCCCATAATAGCAATTTTTTGATGGCGACACAAAAGTTGCCTGATTTTTTTTGTTTTTTTTTAAACGCAAAAAGAATTTTGAACTCAAACAAACATTTTCCAACAAATCTGTTTGGCAAGCAAAATTCAAATTTTTTCTCTATTATAACTACCTGGATGCACAAAGTTTATCTTGATGACTATTTTCATAAACGCTCAAAACGCCTACTCATTTTTTATGGCATGTTTATGTATGCATAGATCAAAACAATAATATTTAAAATCTCAAACTTTGAAAACTATCATCTTTGAAAAGTTTTGCCAAAATTTAAAAGTTTATTACTCTCCTTATATCATCTGTAAAAAGCAGCCGTAAGACAATCCATATCGTTTTGCATGCATTGTATATGCAAAACCGTCCATTCTTTGGTGCTTTGAGTTAACCAAGGTCTTCATCACTTGCGTTCGGTTACGAGCACAACGCAAAATTTTTCAGAAATTAAGTTTGAAAAAAATCTACTTTTTGGGTTATGGGAAAATACGTGTCTTACAATTTTCATATATGGAAAAACGCCTTAGATTTTGGGCACAAAAATATGCAGCAATCTCGTATGAAACAAACTATTAACTAAATAACCTCGTATGCCTTAATATCCAATAAATTATCAACTAGTATGTTTCGCATCTAATTAGACTTCCCCGGGTTGACCACCATTCACCGAAAAAGCTTATCATACAATTCCATTCATCACAACTTTTTGTCACACAATTTTCATACTTTTTGAAAATGGTTGAAAAAAGATTAAAACTAATTTCTCCGGCTGTTTGATTCTAATAAAACAGTCTGGCGAGGAAAAAATCGAAATTTTTTTTTTTTGAAAATAATGCTTCTCGTAGAAGACCCATATATTTCCTGTAACCATATATTCCCATAATAGCAATTTTTTGATGGCGACACAAAAGTTGCCTCATTTTTTTTGTTTTTTTTTAAACGCAAAAAGAATTTTGAACTCAAACAAACATTAAACGCTCAAAACGCCTACTTATTTTTTATGGCATGTTTATGTATGCATAGATCAAAACAATAATATTTAAAATCTCAAACTTTGAAAACTATCATCTTTGAAAAGTTTTGCCAAAATTTAAAAGTTTATTACTCTCCTTAGATCATCTGTAAAAAGCAGCCGTAAGACAATCCATATCGTTTTGCATGCATTGTATATGCAAAACCGTCCAACCTTTGGTGCTTTGAGTTAACCAAGGTCTTCATCACTTGCGTTCGGTTACGAGCACAACCCAAAATTTTTCAGAAATTAAGTTTGAAAAAAATCTACTTTTTGGGTTATGGGAAAATACGTGTCTTACAATTTTCATATATGGAAAAACGCCTTATCATAGAGATTTCATGCAATTTTCTGTACGTATGGCATTGTATGGAATTGTATGGTAAGAAGTTTTCCATATATGGAAACTGTATGATAAGAAGTTTTGGCCAACACGAGACATAAATATTAAGGAATTGTGCAAGAATCAATTATACTAAATTGGCAAATACGGCATTTTTCAAACCCTTCAACTTCCAGATTTAAACTTCAAGAAATTTTTTTTTCAACCTATGTGCACTTTGAACGCCAATATCTGCCGAGAGGGAAAAACTTCAGCCAAAACTGGTTAAACCTTTATGAGCTTAACTTTTCCGTCATTTTCTTTCATAAACTTTCAATGATCCCAAGATTTTTTTTAATGTCTCAACTAAATTTAGTTTGTACATTTTGACAAAATTTTCAAAATACGAGAAAGATAGTTTATCGAAAATTTATGTTTTAATTAATCAAGTTTATGTTTAAATAATCCAAAACTATAAAAACTATGAGCTCGATGATTTGAGCGGTTCCTTGATTTAGACAAATTAGCGTGCCTGAAACCAAAATAGAGTTCTAAACCGGTTATTTGGTCAATCTAGCTATTTTCAACTTTTTTTGTTTTCAGTTCCAGTGTAAATTACATCCAACCAATGCAGTTATCTGGTTTTACAAAATGTAGGCATAATTCGCTAAAAAAAGTATGCGCTAATTTTCTATCAAACCCAAAACCGTTCATAATTAGTTTGTTATCTTCATCAAAAGGTTCCCAATTTTGCATCAGTCTCTTTTTTGATTTAATATCATTTTTTGATCTTTGTGATCATAGTAGCATATTGAATCAAATGTAGCATAAGTCCAATTTTTTATAGTTCCATTAACCGATCGTTTCATTGATTCGAACAGAAGACCATCCACAGGAGCGTTACATAATGAGCCTCAAATTGCTTCCGAAAATCCATTCCCTGAATCGGCACCCAATGAAGGGTTAGAGTTGCATTGTTGGAAGTAGTTATGGTTAATATCGTAGTCGCAGTCATCTAGTTCTTCCAAAGCTACGTAACCATTATTTTCCGCGTTTCTTAGACACTGTCTGAGTGCTCGTATAACGCAATTATAAACATCACATATGCCTTCATTGGGGGCACAACTGCAAGAGGCTACAGTTTCTTGTATGATTGAATCGGCACTTTTTTACTTCAGATTTTGGGACTGTTTTGTACATACAATCTGCGACAATGGAGTATTTAGTGTCAATGTTTGTGGCTTGCGTGCTTTCAGTTTGCGGTAAATTTATACAGCAAAATATAACAAACACAAAAAGATTCACCGTGAAAGTATGTCCACTGAGGTAAGAAGAAGTGGCAGTAGGATCCATCTTCTGATTGCTCCTTCTGCGACAGTCAACTTTGATGGGTAATGAAACTCTGAGGTTGACAATAAGTAGTAGGAAGAGATAGTAGGATCCATCTTCTGATTGCTCCTTCTGCGACAGTCAACTTTGATGGGTAATGAAACTCTGAGGTTGACAATAAGTAGTAGGAAGAGGTAGTAGGATCCATCTTCTGATTGCTCCTTCTGCGACAATCAACTTTGATGGGTAATGAAACTCTGAGGTTGACAATAAGTAGTAGGAAGAGGTAGTAGGATCCATCTTCTGATTGCTCCTTCTGCGACAGTCAACTTTGATGGGTAATGAAACTCTGAGGTTGACAATAAGTAGTAGGAAGAGGTAGTAGGATCCATCTTCTGATTGCTCCTTCTGCGACAGTCAACTTTGATGGGTAATGAAACTCTGAGGTTGACAATAAGTAGTAGGAAGAGGTAGTAGGATCCATCTTCTGATTGCCCCTTCTGCGACAATCAACTTTGATGGGTAATGAAACTCTGAGGTTGACAATAAGTAGTAGGAAGAGGTAGTAGGATTCATCTTCTGATTGCTCCTTCTGCGACAGTCAACTTTGATGGGTAATGAAACTCTGAGGTTGACAATAAGTAGTAGGAAGAGGTAGTAGGATCCATCTTCTGATTGCTCCTTCTGCGACAGTCAACTTTGATGGGTAATGAAACTCTGAGGTTGACAATAAGTAGTAGGAAGAGGTAGTAGGATCCATCTTCTGATTGCTCCTTCTGCGACAGTCAACTTTGATGGGCAATGAAACTATGAGGTTGACAATAAGTAGTAGGAAGAGGTAATAGGATCCATCTTCTGATTGCTCCTTCTGCGACAGTCAACTTTGATGAGTAATGAAACTCTGAGGTTGACAATAAGTAGGAGGAAGAGGTAGTAGGATCCATCTTCTGATTGTTCATACTGCGACAGTCAATTTTGTTGGGTCATGAAATTCGATTCTCAACAAAATTTTGTAACAGTATTGTATGTTGTTAATATTGACATGCACATATTTTGGGTGGCTTTGGTTGCGGCATTACTCGCTTATCTCCGCCCAGATAGCCCACAAGTCTTATGAGGGGATCTCCCCCTAGCATCAGTGTTGCTGAAATTCATGTTAGCCAATCTGCTGGTTGGTATTAGCTCAAAAACCTGTTAGTTTTGGACAGGTTAAGAGACGCTGATTGGTTGAAAAAGTTCGAGCATTTGATTTTTTTTGTCATAAGGAGAATCCCCCATTTTGTGTATGTTTCAGTGTATTTGTGGGAGTTGGGGTGAACTTCGTGTACAACAGCTGCATGTTGCTTCTGTTGAGCTACTTCTCCATTGAGGAGACCCAGAAGAACCTCTCCAGGGCATGTTGCATTGCCTCGTTCGGATTCCCCATTGGTTCGTTAAAACAGTGGCTACAGTTTCCGTGAGCCAGTAAAATCCAGTGATTGTCCCGAAAACGGAAATCGTTTTTAATCACTTCCCAGAGGGTACAAAATATTAGCGAAATTTTGATCATCTGAAATACTGTATTTTTGGTCAAATGTTTAATATAAAATTGATTTTATTTTTCAAAAAGTCTCAATGATTTTTCAGGCTCACGTTGATTCCGTAAAACTTGGATGTCTTAGAAGTCTTGGATGTCTTAAAAATCTTAGAACGGTTAACCTTGTTTCAGTAAATTATCTTGGAACAAGAAAATACGATATAATTTGCTGGTATTTATTGATTAGGACTGCTGGTGATGAATCCGCTGGCAGTGCAGTTGCTCAACAGTTACGGCTGGAGGGTGGCACTCCGCATCATAGCCATGATCTGCTTCTGTGACATCATTGCAGTCTACGTCGTCATCAAACCACCCACAGTATGTTTATTAATACAGCCACGACTTAAATTTCAAAACAGAAAGAAAGAAGATTGAACGCATTAAGAACCCCAGAAGCAGGAGTAATTACAGGATAAAAAATATTTGCTTTTTTCCCGACCAATATTAAAACTAAAATAGAGCTTGAAACTACAACTCGACTTTTTGTATAAAAAAGTCGAGTGTATATGCGTTTTCCACGAGACTGCAAGGAGGCGTCTCAAAAAAATGTCTTCAACCTTTTCATTCAGAATTCAAAAGCTTTTTTGTTTCGAGTTGATGACCGCCAGAAACTTGGAAAGTTTCAACTTAATCACCAAAAAGACTTTGGAGGCTGTCACTTCTCGCCATGCTGGGATGAGAACTGCTGTAGAACGCCTGGTTGCCACACTGAGATTTTCCACTGCAACTGTGATATTTGCAAAACCACTTATCACTGAGGCAGCAAAGTGATCTTTTGGCATTATTATTTTTCAGGATCCAATGTTTATAGGCCAGAGCATATATCATCAGACTTTGAAATTGTGAAATTATGAAAAACGCTTTGATGATTCCAAACGACAATTCCATTCCTCGGTATGAGAGGGATTGTTTCGAACTAAGAAATCTTATCACGGCATTTTTTTGGTTTTAGGTGAACAACTTGATGAACAAGTATATTCCTCGTAACAGCAACACTGGGAGTGTGAAGAGGTTCATAGCGAGACTGAAGCACAGAGATCTGATCCTGGACCCCTGTCTCTACCTATGGCTCACTTCAGTCATGTGTCTCTGGGTCACATTATACTTCGTGCCCATACATCTGGTCTGTCCTGCTCTCTCTCCTTTATAACAAACAATATCAGCATAACAGGCAATACTTAATCACATTCAGTAAAGAGCAACAAGGGGTATACATCACAGTTATTGTTGAGTTTTCCCAAAGTATACATTATTGTTGAGTTTTCCCAAAGTATACACTTCGATACTATTTTACAATAGCTTATTTTGGCTGATCAATAACAAAACTGTTGTATTTTTGATTGATCAATAAATGCTAACTTTGAGGGGGAGCTTGTGCCAGAATTATGTAACTTTTTCTATGAAAATCTTAGAAAGTATGCTGAAAACCATTGTTTTTCCTCATAAAGTGTGCAACATAAAATGTTTTGCTTATAATTGGTCATTCTAGGATTCGGCAGACTTCAAAATTGCTGAAAATTGTCGAAATTGTTCACTTTTTTTTTAAAAAAACTGAGTTCAAAAATTAATTGAGGACTACCAACCAGGTTGAGAAAGCAATTCCATGTGTTATACTTGAGTTCCATAGCAGGGATTACTGCATATTCGTTTGAGATATCATTGCGAAGTTATTTGATGTCTCTATTTTTCTCACGTGCAGGTGTCGGACATGATGGCGAGTGGGGGCATGAGTTCGAACCAGGCCAGTTTCGTGCTAGTGGTGGCTGGGCTGAGTGAGCTGGCCGGCAGGGCTCTCTCTGCCACAGTGCCCAACATGTGCAGTCTCAGAGTGTCCTACTTCCTCCTGCCTGCCTGTTTCGGACTCTCCTGTGCCAACTTCCTATTCGGATTTGCCCAGCTTACATCTACGCAATACGCCATCAGTTAGTGGGCAATTTATACATTTTTAAATAATTAAGACAACTTATTCACGGGGAAAAGAACAAGCATAAGAGCTGTTCGGCTCTTCACAGAGAACCGCTCTTGTGCCCTTGCTTAAAGAAGCTAGTCAGATAAGAATGAAAATTTTGATTTTAGGCGAAATTTATTTAAGGACCCTTTGCGCCAATTTAAAAAACTTTGTGCGATGAGCGCGCATTTTTGCCTGTTTTTTGGTAAATCAGTTTGGTCAATCTTAAAAATTGTCCCAGATCTGAGCCGAGGGTTATCCCAAACAAGCACAATAATTGAATATTTTTTAAAAATGGCTCTTTTCCTCCCAAAATAGCCAACAATCTGATTGCCCATTTCCTATCTCAAACTTCTATTTAGTCTACGGGGTGTGTGCGGGAGTGGTGAACTCGACTATGATCGTGACGTGTAAGGAGTTCTTCGGCAACAAATACTTCCACGAGGCATGGACCTACTCGGGAATAGTGTACATGTTCTCCACTGTACTCGGAAACACACTCGGAGGTGGGTTAACAAGAAGCAATCTGATCTATCTAAGCATTAAGGGCGAATCTAGGATTTTCTCGAGAGGGGGTTGCGGATTTCTGTTTTGGGTTTCTGGGGGTGGATGCTTCCTCCCTCAAGGATTTTACCACCTGCCGACCCAAAAGTTTCCTTCTTTGTACTATTTTGAGATATCCATTTTGGTAACGCCCCCAAAAAAAGCGCGCCGAAAAAAAAACGCAATTTTTTGGTCAAAATTTTCCAAAAAGTGCCTAAAAACGCCTTTTTTGGCCTGTTTTTTCAAAATTTTGCCTGCGGCGCAAAAAATTTGGCCAAAATTGGGACAAAACCGTGCTTTGGGAGAGCTCGAAAAATCAATTTGGTCGACCTAAAAAAAAAGGTCGTCAAAATTTTCGAAAATTTTTTGAAAATCCGCCCCCCCTCGAAAAAATCCTAGATCCGCCCCTGTAAGATAATACTTGTGAACTTCTCCTTTCAATATACGGAGTGATAATTTTTGAAAGATAACACTGCATTTTTAGTGAATCAAAAATCATTGTCGAATGCTCACTTCCAAAATCGTCAAATCAATTGCCGTTTTTCTTAACCTTACCTCAATAATATAATATCATAATGTAATAACTTATAATCCAAAATGTTCTTTCAGGCCTCCCATTTGACCTGACTGGAAATTACGTAATGGTCTACAGAGCATTCGGAGTAATACACGCTTTCGCTTTCGGTGTACTTCTGTTGGTCAATCTAATCATTTTTAACAGAGAGAGGGCCGATCAAATGAACAATCGGCCACTCGAACAGCGCCAAGAAGTGTCCGCCATATACAAAATAAACTCATCCGAACTATTTCCCCGAAAAGTTCTTCAAAAACGGTTTCAGAGGTTCAGTGAGTCGACGGCGCAATCTGGAAGCAGTAATACGTTCCATTTCAACAATGATTGTAATTTTTCGACGACGTTTTCTCGCTACTCGGAGACGGGGAGCAATCGAGATCGCAGCCCGCTGAATTTCGCTCAACCCCGAAAAAGTTCATTGAGAAATTCGACGTCAACTGCTTCACCAACTATATCTAATACAACATTTAACGAGGCAAACACAGGGTCGCAGAATTGCTCAACAATTGAACTATAACATAAAGTGTTTGATAGTTTTTAAGTTTGAATTGAACAACCTGAATAACTGAACGGTTTTCTTTTGTAACGGAATTGATTAAATTCAATGCTTGACGAAAAATGGTCGAGACGGGGTCGATAAGTTCTTCGAACGCGGTCGAAATATCAAAGTTTGGTCGAGCACGGTCGAAACAAATTAAAACTTGGTCGAGCACGATTGAAACACACATCGAGCACGGTCAAAACATGCTTCGAGAGCGTTTGTTGAAACATACCTCGAGCACTTGTGTTGTGATTTTAAGTTTTAACGTAGTAACCTTGACCTCTAGCAACTAATTAGTTACCAGTTAGTTGTGCTTTATACGAAAACCATTGGACTTCGCGTCACTATTGCTCTTCTTAGACAACAGTCAGTTTTAATTCAGCACAATTACTTTTATTCTTTCAACTTAACTTAGTTAGTTTTAGTATACCAGTGGTATTTGAACACTTCTTACTATGACGCAGTCAACTGATTCGAATCTGTGGGGAATTCCCGCCTTTTGGCCAAATCATACTGCAGAACCACCCACCGACTGGACTAATTGGATCGACCAGTTCCACCTGGCCATTATCGTCAAAGATAACTTGGACATAGATAACCTGAAAGAACCATTGGAGTCGGAAACGACGATCTCTATTTTAGAAAGCGCCCAGGATTCAGAAAACAGAACACAGAGGAAAACCAGGGAGGCCAGAAACAAAGAATTAATGCAAAAACGCGCAGGACAAATGAATTTCAGAAGAGAAACGAAAACTCGAGGGGATGAGGAGAAACGAAGCAGACAAGAATAAATTATCCATCCTTTGATGGCTAAGTGTCGTTCGCTATGAAGAAGTGCTCAGAAAGTGATAGAACCAATTTTTTTTTAGACTCAGCGGGATCTAAAACAAGACGTAGCCGCCGTTTTTGAGTCTAGGCAGCCACGTTTCAAAAGATGTTTAGTGGTTTTTGAAAGGACTGCAAATCCACTGAGTCGGGCTCCCCCAACACCCAGCAGAGGAAACCATCTAAAAACAAAAGCTGAAACACTGCAAAGGTCCAAACAGATAAAGAATTAAAACTGAGAGACCCACAACTGAAAACTTTACCCGTTGACATGAAAATTCGGGCACATTAAGTTAGTTTTGAAAAACGCCTACGGCCAGATACAACTATGCAATGATACGAAGTAAACAATGCAATTTTAGCGTAGTAAGGAGCGACACCACCGAAACCTATCGTTTTTTAATGGGATTCAATGAGTTGGGAGATATTCCAAACGATAAACGAATTCCAAAGGGTAATGGATTCGTTTTTAAAAGATATTCCGTTCACCAGCTGCTACATCGATGATATTTTAAATGCTTCAAAAAATTCTTTAGAAGAACATTAAGCTATGCTTCGGAAAGTTTTTTACACCCTAGAAAGCGAAAACATGGCAGTTGAGTGGTACAAATGTGCATTCTTTCAAAAAGATAATGATTGGTTGGGGATCAAGATCTCGCACACAAGAGTAACACCATTGGTTGGTAAATCGGATTCTAAAAAACCTTAACCCGAAGATTATTTCAGAATTAAGATCACTCTTTGATTCAATAAACCAATACATGAAGTTCGTACCTAACCTGTCAACACCGAGCTCACTGCTACGTTCTTGATTAGTCAAAAAATCTGTTTTCAATTGGGATGATTCTCACACGAAAGCCTTCGAAGAACTAAATAAAACAAATTGTAAATATAACGGAGAACAATAATTTTGATTTTTTGATAAAAAAAAGCAAAGTATCGGATAAAAAATCGTAAAAGGAATCTATCGATATAAAAAGAAACCTGTTGAATTCTATCGATATGAAAAGGAATCTATGAAATTTAACCTCAAATATCACTATCAAGACTGAAAACAGACGCCTCGCATAACGGCTTAGGAGCTACATGAGAGTCTTGGGATTCGGAACTTTGGTTAACGATTGCATTCGCTTTTCTATTCTTAAACACCCACGAAATGCAGTACTCGACAAATGAGCTAGAAATTTTGAGAGTAGTTTGAGCGTTTTCCAAAAATTATTTATACGTCGCAGAGTTTGAAATCGTAAAGGATCATAAAGCACTGTTATTAGTGTTAAACGCGCGCCAGAGCAATAAAACTATGCATAGTAGACTGACCTGTTGGGTAAATCGACTATTGCCGTTTAATTTTAAAGTCAAACATATCCCAGGAAAAGAAATGGGAATTACCGATTTATTTTTGGCATTACCCTGAAGAAAAGCCCATCTAAGCTCACATTATGGCAACGAACTTGTGGAGGCAACGGTTAACAAAATTTTAGAAAAATTTGTTGTAAATAGTGACGTTAAAAAGAAGAATTGTATAAAGAACGATTTGTTGGTTGATAAACCAGTGGATGTATACAGTTTAAGTAGCATTAATAACTTGGATTGCATAAATCCAATGGTCGGAAAGAACGAAAAGCTGCAACACATTCAACGGTCGTTTTTCGCGAGTGTTCTTAATTACGTCACAGACACTGCAAATTTGCAATTCTGATCTTTCACGTTCAGAGTTACCAATGTGTAATTGGAAATTGACTCTACAGGTAACTTGTCTAAAAATCAAAAAAGAAAACTGTCCAAAAATTGAGACTACATTCATTTGCAAAACTAAAATTATGAAACTGAAATTACATAAAGTATGAATAGTGTGTAATTGAAATTACTTTTAGCAGCGATTAGCAACACCCAGACCTATAATAGCTAGAACGGAAAGCTGATCGCAGCTTAATAAGTGACCAGTCCAACCCGGCCGGTATGGTTTGATTAGAACATTGATTGTCGCGTAATAAGTGGTCAACCTCATCCCGACTGTAATGGCTTGAACTGTACACTGATCGTCGCGTAATTAGTAACCTACCCAGCTCTGACTTGTGATGATTTATTGAATTATGTTTTTTTTATTCTATTGCTACATCGGCTCCTTTCTCTTACCTAAATCATTAGTTTCCCAGTTTTTGATATAAAATATATTGTACCTTCCATCTCTCGTGTACTCAATTTCACGTAAACTCAATTGACTGTAGCCCAACCAATTTTTTTTTGAATACTAGCCGAATTTCATCTGGAAAAAATTTCGAAATGGTTCCAAAGAATGAATTATTCCATTTCATCGACTAGAAAAAAGATATGAGATGTTCAGTTCACTCCTTGGTTAGGAAAAGCATGGAGTTTTCTGGTTATTTACTGGGTTGTGAAGTGTTCAGTTGCCCTCGTGGAACGTTTTGGGTCACGTAGTGCGTTGGAACACTGACCCAGAAGTAAAGACTTATACACAGCACTAACTATGAAATCTATATTAAAAACTTGGACCCCTAGAAAACTGCGAAAAACAAAAAAATGAGACCCATTGTTTAGCTATCCTTTTTTTATATTTGTTTTATATTGTTTTGTTTTGTAATTTAGAACTTCGAAATGGTTCGAAATGGTTCCAAAGAATGAATTATTCCATTTCATCGACTAGAAAAAAGATATGAGATGTTCAGTTCACTCCTTGGTTAGGAAAAGCATGGAGTTTTCTGGTTATTTACTGGGTTGTGAAGTGTTCAGTTGCCCTCGTGGAACGTTTTGGGTCACGTAGTGCGTTGGAACACTGACCCAGAAGTAAAGACTTATACACAGCACTAACTATGAAATCTATATTAAAAACTTGGACCCCTAGAAAACTGCGAAAAACAAAAAAATGAGACCCATTGTTTAGCTATCCTTTTTTTATATTTGTTTTATATTGTTTTGTTTTGTAATTTAGAACTGTATCATGCTTCACGATAGGAAGTGCATTCGCATGATTGCCTGACTTATTTTCAACGGAAAAAGTGTAAGAAACAGTCTATCAGTTATCATTTTTAACGACATAGTACCAAAAAACTCAAATAAAAAGAGTCTAAGTTCAAGAAATTGACACTAATTAGAGACAGGGTTTTTTGTTTTGTCCAAAAAATGATTTAATAAGCAATTTTTTTGTTAATACAAAAACTATCACGTTAAGGATTTTGAATTGTATATTGTTACTCACCATTTCTTTTTTGTAGTTTATTACCTTGTTCTGGAAATCGTTTAAACTTTTTCAAAATTTATTTCAACAAAGCCAAATTTCGTTTCAGCATATAGCTTTTTCTCTTAATCAAAAATAATTCAATACAAAAACTATATATACATCATTAACTATACTGTTTCACAATTAAAACTGGAACATCTCTTGCAAACCTGAAAATTATCAACAGTCTTGTTGTTCCGACTTTCGTAATTTGTGCTCGGGTGGGATTTTTTCTTTAGACAAATTTCGACTTTTTAACAAACCATTTTTGACGAAATTTTTTTAAACCTTCAAGGTATTGTTGTTCTGAGCTTAAATTGGCCGGTATGGTTTGATTAGAACATTGATTGTCGCGTAATAAGTGGTCAACCTCATCCCCACTGTAATGGCTTGAACTGTACACTGATCGTCGCGTAAATAGTAACCTACCCAGCTCTGACTTGTGATGATTTATTGAATTATGTTTTTTTTAGTCTATTGCTACATCGGCTCCTTTCTCTTACCTAAATCATTAGTTTCCCAGTTTTTGATATAAAATATATTGTACCTTCCATCTCTCGTGTACTCAATTTTTGGGCTACAAACTGTAGCCCAACCAATTTTTTTTTGAATACTAGCCGAATTTCATCTGGAAAAAATTTCGAAATGGTTCCAAAGAATGAATTATTCCATTTCATCGACTAGAAAAAAGATATGAGATGTTCAGTTCACTCCTTGGTTAGGAAAAGCATGGAGTTTTCTGGTTATTTACTGGGTTGTGAAGTGTTCAGTTGCCCTCGTGGAACGTTTTGGGTCACGTAGTGCGTTGGAACACTGACCCAGAAGTAAAGACTTATACACAGCACTAACTATGAAATCTATATTAAAAACTTGGACCCCTAGAAAACTGCGAAAAACAAAAAAATGAGACCCATTGTTTAGCTATCCTTTTTTTATATTTGTTTTATATTGTTTTGTTTTGTAATTTAGAACTGTATCATGCTTCACGATAGGAAGTGCATTCGCATGATTGCCTGACTTATTTTCAACGGAAAAAGTGTAAGAAACAGTCTATCAGTTATCATTTTTAACGACATAGTACCAAAAAACTCAAATAAAAAGAGTCTAAGTTCAAGAAATTGACACTAATTAGAGACAGGGTTTTTTTTAACGGAATATTTGTGCTCGAGGTGGTTTTTTTTCATCAAACGAATTTCGATCTTTTACTTAAGCATTTTTGGCGGAAATTTCTACATAAGCCGAAAGTATTCTTGTTTTGAGCTTAAATTTGAAAAGATAGTTCACTTGTGATCTTTTTTTATAAAGTTATGAGGGTTTAAACACTGCCATTTTGGCCAATTTGGGTCAATTAACATGCGATAAATTTCGCGCTATTAACGCGTAAGCGGAGATTTAATTTCTAATAAATATCATTTCAAATTGGTTGAAACAGGCTATTTATCATAATTGATACGTTACTAGGGGCGAAATCCATCACTTTGTATTTTATATGGTGTGTTGGGGATGATATAAAAACTCAACATTTACTTTTTTGTTTTCGTTTTTCACTATTTTTTCAAAGCGAATACTGCTTCATACACCTTAAAAGACATTCGGAACATTCAAGGCTTTGCCTTGATACGAGCAGTTTTGTTTCTTTTGTAGTATGAAGCTTTGATTGCTTCATTTCAAAAGTTCGTGCAACTTCTACAAAATTTTCGTTGGTTGGTTTGCCTCAATAGTTTGTTTAGATTCGATGCTGGAAAGAGTTCTGTTAATTGATCTTGGGGTTAGAGTCACATTTGAAAAATTGTGTTGAATTTAATTACATATTGTTGCAATACTTTTGAAAACACCATTAATTTCAGGCGAAAAAAGTGAAAATGTATCCGTCGAGTTGAATCTAAACTTTGTTGAACCTGTTTCTGAAATGGTTCATCTGAATTATAAAACAGCGCATATTTAAAACCAGACGAAGTTTAATAACTAAGAAACACCTCTAGGCTTAAAATTTCAGTGTGTTTAATAACTTAATGTTTCATTTCCGACTGTATTAACGCATGATCATAATTTTTTTCTGAATGGGAAGATAAGTTTTTTTTAAATATAAATAAAAAATCTAATAAACATTTGATTTTAGATGATGTTTTTGCTAGCTTCTTTACTTTTTTCAGGCAAATGCAAATTAATGTTGTGGCCGCTAAATCTTGATACCTTGAGACTCAATAGCAAAATTTTCCGGCAATTGCCCGAGGGCTTTCGCGGTGATTCGATGCAAAACCAAAACCTCAAAACCAGTAAACTCATAAGGTTTCAGATTCGGACTTTGTGTATGCCACGGCATTTGTGAATGACAACTGAAGTTGACACAAGATGCGGTTGAAAACGCATTCTTTGCAAGCTCGCAAATATTAATTCGTCTATGAACTTTGGAAGTATTCATTGTACTTTCGTTGCTTTTTTTAATATACTTTGCAATAATCGTAATAAAAACCGCAAAAATTGCTGAAACTGCTTTGCGTTGCATGAAAAAATTTAACTTCATAAAAAAACTGCTTCAAACTATTGCAAAAAATTTTTTTTAGCCTTATTTCACGTGACAAACAGTGATATTTTTAAGATTAGCAGCTTAAGAAAACCCACAACTGTCGCAGGTTATATTATTTGCAACTTGTTAGTTTCATTGTGATTATACGGCATCTAGAATGATTTTTTCGTTTTCGTTAAGATTATTTTTTTGAACAAATAGAGAAAAAGATCGAAACATTATGTCGGTGCAAAGTAAAAATTCTTACTTTTCAAGTTAAAGTTTTGTCCATAGTTGGCTGTAGATTTTTAATTGAAAGAAAAACTGAGAAATCGATATTTGTTTCGAACGAGAGCGGAGGTAAAACTGCCGGAGTTTTTTAACTAAATATGATGAAAGCATTGTATCTGGGTTTGCGATAATAACCTAACCTCTCAAGGTTTTTGTGGCGGCAGTACCACAAGATTAAAAAAGAACTGATCGCCCCATTACAAATATTTCTATAAAACTTGGAAATTTCTCGTAATTTTGTGTACTAGTTGAAAAAAAAACTTTTTGAAAGAATATTTAACATTTGATAACACAGAAAAGCTGTTTGTTGCTCAATAACTCTGATTGATATCTTCTATCAAAATGTTTGATTCATTTGTTGCTATTGAGATTTTTTAAAATCAAATACGCTTATTTGAGACATTTGAGTGCAATTGGAACCTTTTAGGAATTTGTTTAACAAATAATTTGCTGAAGCTAGAAGATAAAATTTTGAATTTAATCAATGAGTTTACTATGAATTAAAAATTTATATTAAATGTAATATAAATGTAATTAAATGTAATTAAATGTAATAAAATGAAAATACTGTATGAATCATCAAGCAAGCAAAATACTTCTTCATGAACTTAGAATTTTGAAGTCTTCTGAAGGATTTTCTAAAAAAAAATGCTCTCAGTCAAATCATTTTTGTATTCAGGAATTGACTTAAGAGGCTGATTTGAATAAAACGTAAAATTCTGAAGCCAATAAATAGGTAAAATAAACAGGTAGATGAAAATTAAAGTATTGATTGATAATTTTGCATCACTCCGATTTGTCCTCATCGTCTTCACAATCGGACGAACCATTTCCATCTAGATCCAGCTTCAAAAGTAGCTTCAGCCTCTCCTCGTAATCCAAATCCATCCCCTCTAGATGATCGTCGCTAGGCAACGAGTCCCCCAACTCGGCAGCTATCGCCGGGTAACCCTCTTCATCGTCAGTCAAAATACCAGCCACTTTCTTTGTCTGTGGGTGGTGTATGCCTAAAAGCATGATTATTCATTTGGCACACACGATCAGGCTTCACTAAAAAAATCTGTTGCTTGTGGATTAATTTTTCCAGAAAAACCTTGAGTGAGACTTCATTTCCGTTTGTTCTGTGGATCTTAAGTCTGAAGTTTTCATGACAATATCCATTTTACGGACGATGAAATAGCCGATGAAGACGTTAAAAGTTTGATCGAAAAACAGCGTGTGATCTTTTCAAGTTTTTTATTGGAAAATTCCTCAAAAAAAGCTACTGAAGAAGAAGTTAAAGAAATGCACTGACCTTTAATATGACGATAGATCATCCAGGAGCGTCTGAAGCACTCGTAGGACACTCTCCTGTAACCCATGTACTCTATTTCGCAGCCCATGTTGTAGTAACACCTCGAACTGAGCACACTGAACTCCCCGTATGAGGCCAGACACATTTCACGCGCTTTCAACAGGGTCCGAACAGCCTCTTTCCCGTCGATCAAGTTGGCCTAGAGTTAGAGTAAGGCTCTTTTCCACTTATCCAGTACAAGCTATGTTCAGATATGAATCAAGGTTTTTTACACCGCCATTTTAGAAGGAACTAGAGCCTAGTGCGTCGGTCACTGATGTTTATTTAAATATCATTAAAAAAATTGGAGTCGTTTAAGTGTGGAAGCACCGCATTAAGGCCTTTTCGTAGCCTGTGTTTAAAACAGAGAAAAGTGTCTGAGATTCTTATTTTGCGGTAAGGATTATCAAAACCCATTGCAAACGCAAATTTATCAGGTATCTCATCGTAATAACATACGTTTTTTAGAATACAACTGAAGAAACTTAAGACTAATTAGGACACTAAGCATTTATATGGCAGTTATACATATGAGGATCTGACAGATTGAGACAGCTACCAATTGTCAGAGAAGTAACCTATTGCAAGTTAGAAAAGGAGATGGAAATTTTAAGAGAACCTGAGTCAGTAGCAGTTCGGCCATCAGCCCTTTGTCCGTCACTTGCTGGCACAGCTTTTCCACAGTTTCGACGAAGGATTCCTCATCTTCCAGAACCCACTCACTGAAAATCACAAATAAACTTCTCTTATGATAATTTAGAACTAATTGGGAACCCGCACCGGAGTTTCATGGATAATAATCGATTATAATGGAAAAATGTTGTCTAAAATGTTGTCATTATAATCCATTATTGTGGCAAAATTAGACCATGTAATCGATTATATTGTCATTATAATCGATTATTTTCGTAAAAACACAGTCCTTTAAAAACCATTATAATGGATTATAATCCATTTAAATCCATTATAATGGGTTATAATCCATTTAAAATCCATTATAATGGGTTATAATCCATTTAAAATCCATTATAGTTG